CGCATCTCTTCCTATCGGCGGCACCAATGTCATGCAGGAGGCCCTGGCTTTTCACATCCCAACATGATCACCTTGGGGTTTCACACCTCAAAACACAAATGGGGGGGTATGTCAGTTACCTCTTTCTGCCCCCAAACCTGCTGTACTCCTTTCGCTCTCTGGACCCCGCTGAGTCTGTCCTCTCAAGCGATGACTGCCTAGGGGTTCCCCTGCTGAGAGTGGGGCCTTAGAAGGTTTCAACTCCAGAACATGGGGAATGGATAAGTTACTAGTCAGAAAATCCTCACGGAGACTCTGGCATAACTGAGGCAGCATCTTGAATCCAAGCAGATTCTCATTGTATTTCAAGGGCACGCAGGGCAGTGGCCTGGATCCTGGCTCCCATATTGCCATCACCCTAGTCCTTGGGCCATCTCCCGATGCCTGCCGCGCGCGGGAGCAATAGCAGGGAGCTGGATGGGAGGAGGAGCAGCCAGAACTGGCAGTTTCTCTGATACCTTAGGCAGCAGCTACTTTGCTTGTCTTAATCATAAGTCTATACCTCCACATCCCCTTTAAAAGCATTGATTGATTTATTTCTAATGCAGAGAGGAAGCAGAGGAGAGAATTAGTTTACAATGCTTGAACTCTGACGCTCAGGACAAAGTACAGTCGTTAGCAGGGGGAATAAAAGCACCTGCGCACAGCACCCCTGCGGGGCCTGGTCAGCCTCGGGGAGAGCCCAGGTGCGGCCTGCAGCAAGACCAGAGGGAGCAAGGCGGTGCCCAGGCAGTGCGCAGACCCCACTGACAGCCCAAGCGCAGCGGCCGAGCCCCGAGCCCGGCTCACCCGGAGGCGCCCGCGAGGTGGCGCGCGCTCTCCACCGTGCCCCGGCGGGTCCCGAGCCGGTGCGTGCGTTTAAGTTCCAAAGGGATCGTGCCCGCCGCCGAGGAGTCGCGAACGCAACAGTGCTTAACTGAGTATCCATCACCTTCCTGTCTCCCTCTTCGCCCACTCCCGTGTACTGATTAATTTCTTCGTAACAGCGCTGGCGTGCTTTATTTCCCAACACACCACACTGAAAAAGTCGTTAGATGTGCTTGCCTGCTGTGTTTCCTTAATGTCCTTAAATTTGAAAGAAACTTTTTTTTCTTTTTTTAAGATGAATGAGCTTTAGACAGTGAGGACGGTGATGGGGGACAGATAATAAGCGTAAGCCCGCAAGTTGACGACAAAAACCGATTGGAGTAGGAAAAAGCAGTAGAATTGGCATCAAACTCCAGTTTGAGTCCTGACTTAGCCGCTTCCTAAGAGTCTCAGTTTCTTCGCCGGTGAAATGGGAACAATGATTGTCTCTACCCGTCCCTCTCCCAGGGTTGGGGTGCGCCTGGCACGCTGCGGGCAGTTTGCACCCCCTCGGCCAGTATTGCCAATGTTCGCCTCCTGCAGTCTGAAATACCTGGACGTGGTGCGTGACGAAGCCGGAGGTGTTCGGCAGGAGCCAGGGTCTGCCGGCGAAAAGCGCGGCCGGACGCGCGCGAGGCGTGGCGCGTCCTGGGAAGTCCGCGCGGGGGACCCTCAGTCCCGGGACGACCTCGGCCTGGACCTGGGCGCCTGCAGCCGCCCCCACCCCTCAGTCGTGGCCTCAGAGCGCGGGGAGCCAAACCCTGGGTTGGGAGGACTGGAAACGAGACACGGCAGGTGGCTTCACTCACGGCCACGGACGTCTGTGAGACCGACCCACTCGTGCAGCGCGGGCTCTCTCTCCCACTCTCTTCCGCTGCTTCGCCCCAGGGTGCAAGTGGCAGGACCACAGGGACGCGATGTGCCGTGGTCCCCCGGAGACTAGGCCCCCTCCCCCCGCCCCCGGGAGCGGGCGCAGTATCTTGTGTCGCTTCCGAAGCAGGACTTGGCTCTTGCAATTCCCAGACCACGGTCCCCCGCTGCCCGGCCGCGGTACCGGGCTCCTCCGTCCGCACCGCCCAGCTGCGCCCTGCGCCGGTTCCCTTCCGGGGACCGGAGCGCGCGGCACGTAGGGGGCGCGCAGGACCCAGACTGCGAAGAAGGAAAAGAGAAGAAGGGACAGAGAGAGGGGACGGAGGAGGAAAGGGAGAAAACGAGGAAAGTAGTGGGCCAGGGCGCGGACGCTAACTAAAGCCCCACGGGTCTCCCTGCTTCGCTCCCAGCTCTCGGGGCCCGGCCCCAGCCTGAGCTCGGCGCCCACGAAGCCACAGGCGGGCGCCACGGGGAGCGGCTACCCGGTGCAGAGAGCTCACGGCTCCGCCGGGAGGAAATCACGCTCGGGAGCCCGAAGGGGCCCCAGGCGCGCGCGCGCGCCAAGACGCGTCCCGGTCCGCATCCATCTCTGACCTTTCGGGGCGCGGTGGCCTGCTGAGCCCTCGTCACGCGTCAACCTTGATTCTGCGTGGACCTTGGGGTACTTCTGCTCCCACTCCTGGCCGCCAGAGCCTTTCATCTGCGCCCAACCCCTTCTAGTTGCAGTTCCAGACTGGTGAGTTAAGCTACCGGCCTTTTCTAGCCGCTCAGCAGCCCTCAAGCTCCCCTGTGGGCCACGGTCGCCCGGCCGAGGTGCTTCCCAGTCTCCATCGCTGAGCGCCTGCTGGGAGCGCAGGCCGGGGCCACCCCCAGCCCCTACTCGCCCCGCACACCGCAAAACCCAAGAACTCAGCAACACCAAACAGTGTCTTTCCCCTCCTTGACAACCTCTGTCCACACCGGTGGCAAAGGGTATATTCTACGGAGACTGAGGATGCTTAAAACAAGAGGTTGTTTTTGGTGGGATAACTAAAGGGTGGTTTGTATTTTCAAGCAGGTCCTTATGGAGTCCCCCAGATTTACTCTGGTGCCCCGCCATTCAGCCCTCAAACCTCTCCAACCTCTTGAATATCTAGAATTCAAGACTTTTCCATGCCACCAAGTTCTAAGTCCAGGAAGGGGACAGCTGGAAAAGGAGCGGGGCAGGGGGATTAACACAACCCACACCTGCGCAGCCGCTCCCTTCCAGGCCTCTGCTGGCCTCCACGTCCTCCGAAGCACCCCAGGGACAAAGCAGTTTCTACGCTTAGGGTGCAAGGGAGCAGAGAGAGAGGTGGGCGATTTGGAAAGGGAGTGCTTTGTTTGGAAACCCCTCGGCCTCTGCTCTACCCTACCATCTGTCCACCTTAAAGAGCTTCCCGGGCCCCGGCAGCGCGGGATACTGACACCTCTCCTGCGGACGCAGGCCGTGTGCACGGCAGGGCCAGCGCGTGTGGACGCTGCGGAACTGCAGGCTGAGGCCGGGGGCTGGGAGTCCTGGGCGCATTCCCTTCTGCTGCCGCCACGAAGGGGCAACCGCGGGAAGTGCTGCCCACGTTAGTGAGACGGAGCGCAGCCACCGCAGCAACCGGCTCCAGGAACAGCCCGGTCCCTCACCCGTACTAGTGGTTCAAGTGTCTGTGCTGGTGTGTTGAGCCTCCAAGAGAATTTTACGGACGACAGTAAAATATGTTAATGAGCATTTTTTTTTACTTAAACAACATAAATAAACAAACCTATGTTTTCATATGACCACGATATGTGTGTGTCTGTCTGCTGCCTTCTGCGTCGGGCAACAATGTATTTCCTGTCTTTTAATCTGGCATCCAGTGTTGGCAGTTCTAGATAAATGCCTATGGTAAGTCACAGCTATTCTAAACAAACACGTATCTCTTTATGATCTTATACAACTCAAATAACAGAAGATGGGAAGAACGAAGCTGCAAGCTGTTTTCCTTCTCCTCGATTCCCAGGCAACCCGGGGCTGACCTCTCACGGAGAGGACCAGCAGCTGCCCAAAGCACGCCTTCCAATGCCTCGCCCGACCTGAGTGCGCCCTGCAACGTGTTTTGCTCTTTGATTCCTCTGCGGAACTCGAATCAAAGCACGGCGAGGAAGGCTCCGCGTCTCTGGCGTGATTTTAACGAGCTCGTCGTCTGAGCGTGGAGGCAGCCGGCGTGGAAGGGGCGGCAGCGGGGGAGGGGGTGCGATGCGTTTTGCTTTTCGTGTTTGTGAGCCTTCCTGCAGAACAGAAACTACGCGCGCGTGGCTTAAGGAACTTCATTGTCTTGAATCTTCTCCGAAAGTAGGTGATGAAACTTCCCAGGGCTGCCCCCAGAAACGTGCTGCCAAGGGTGGGTGTGCCCACGGCAGGAAACCGAGGCCACCTCGGCGTGGATGAGAAACCCTCCCCCACCCCGCCTCCCCGGGTAGCTGGAGGATGCTCGTAGGAACAGGCTTAGTAGAGAAGGAGTTAAGTCCGCCCGAGTCTTCGGCCGCGCAACGTGCCCAGTTTTGTCGGCTTTAGTCAACGTCGCCCAGCTGGAGACAGCCAATGGTCGGCCCGGAGCGCGGGGGACGACCCAGTGCGGGGGCGTGGCCCGGAGCTGTCACTCAGCGGTGAGGAATGACACCGCGGCGGGAGGGGGCTGCGGTGGAACGCAGGGGAAGGAAAGACAAGAAACAGATAAAACCAGGGCAGGGGGTAAAAAGGTGCCCCGCGCCTCTCCGAGTCCTGAGACCGCCGCCGCCGCCAGGGGTGGGCTCCGGAAGAGGCAGCCGAGCGGGGAAGAGAGACGACGCGCCAGGAGCGAAATCCTGCAGGCGGGGAAAAGACAGAGGAGCAAAGAAAAAGTGACTCGGGCCGTGCGCCCCCGGCGGCACTCGGGAGGGGACTGAGGCCGCCGAGGGGCCCCCGCCAGTTCGCCCCCACTTCCCGGGGAAGGCAGCCCCCCGGCCTGTCCCTAAGGGCGAGCGGCGATGAGATAATCCTGCAGAGCGGCGAAAGGAGCGCGAAAGGAGAGCGTCTGGCCCTGGGTTCGGGGGGAGGGGGTTTCCAGGCAGGGTGGGCCTGGGGGGAGGGCGTGCGTGGAGGTGAGGGTCCGCGCAGATCCTGGGACGAGGGGGCGGGGGCTGCAGGGCCGCGCAGGAGTGGGCTGCAGGGGCCTGGCGCGCCTGGCTCACTCGCGCCGCTGCCGCCTGCGCTCTCTGTCCGGCTCGGAGCTGCCCGGAGCCCCGGCGGCCGCTCCGGCCCGCGGCGCAGATGGCTGTGCGCGGCGCCAATACCTTGACGTCCTTCTCCATCCAGGCGATCCTCAACAAGAAAGAGGAGCGCGGCGGGCTGGCCGCGTCCGAGGGGCGCGGGGCGCCCGGGAGCACGGCGGTGGTGGTGGCCGCGGCGCCCGCTGTCTGCTGCTGGCGGCTCTTTGGGGATACGGACCCGGGCGCTCTTGGGGGCGCCGAGGACTCAACGCTGGCGTCTCCTGCCCGGAGCAGAACAGCTGCGGGGCGGACTGCGGAGAGCCCGGGAGGCTGGGACTCGGACTCCGCGCTCAGCGAGGAGAACGAGGGCAGGCGGCGCTGCGCGGACGCGCCGGGGGCCAGCGGGGCCGGCCGCGCGGGGGGAACCCTGGGCCTCGGCCAGCCGGTCTGCGAGCTGAGGGCCGCCAAGGACCTGGAGGAGGAAGCCGCGGGCCGGAGCGACAGCGAGATGTCGGCCAGCGTCTCAGGTCTGCCGTGGCTTCACAGGGTTGGGGGCTGGATGGAGGGATGGATGAGAAGGCGTGCCGGGCGGGCCTGCGTTCTGGGGCTCCAGGTTGGCCAAGTCCGAGAGCTTGGCGCGGTGGCGTGGACGGAGACAGGACTGGTGTGCTCGGAGCCCTGCATCCTGGTACAAGGCCTGAGGTGTCGCGGGACAAGGTGCCGCCGACCGTGTTGAAAGCCGGTCGCCACTCCTTACGTTCCCGGGTCTTGGAGCTCATAGCCAGTGCCTTGGGTGTCTGTCCCCAAATGCTAAGCTTCCGCGAGAGGGAAGGGAGAGGGATCCGGGGACTTCAGCAGAGCCGGTGACCTTGCCCTAGCTCTGACTTAGGTCGGCTCCAGGTCCCAGTGTGTGCCCGGAGCGCTGGGATGGGTAGCTAAGGACAGCTTTGGACTGCGAGTCTTGGAGTTAGAGGTAAACTCGCTGAAGGCGGGTTCTTGACCTGGTCATCCTGGTGCAGACAGGAGAGGCGCACGGCGTGTGTCTGCGAGTGGGGTGCACGCTGCTGCAGGCCTCACTCAGAGGCCTCAAGAGAGGCCAGGGCTGCGGAGAAGATGCCGAAAGGCTGGTGCCAGGTCAGAAGTGCAGGGGCACCCACCTTCCCGCTTTCCTCACTCCTCATCCCTGTATCGAGGGCCTGCAGCACCCAGAGCCTCAGCGCAGCCCTCTGCGTGACTCTTCAGGGGGTCCCGGGCAGTTAGAGGTGTGAGGCTACAAACGGCCAGAGCCAGCATTTGTTCCCCTGCCTTGCCATTGCATATAGCCGTCTTTCGTGTCCGGTTACTACGCGCGCGTGTGTGTGGATGCGAGGATTCGAGGGCTGGGAAAATCCGAGTTAGCAGCAGTCCAGAACGCCGGGGCTCAGTGGGAGGGCTTGGGAGGGCTTGCAGTGCAGGGCCCGGCGGGTATCGCGGGTTACCGCTGGGACTCTGGGTCCAGGGACGGCAGCGAGCTGTTCCTGGGCCACACCACTGGAGTCTGGGAAGCCAGTGAGCCAGGATTCTGGCACCAGGAGCCATCGCTGCATGCATCCGCCATAGCATCCGGAGGACCAGCGTGGAGTTCTCAGCCACTCAACCCCTCCCCCGTTCCGGTGACTCCCGCGGTTGAGTTCCAGCCTTACTCCCCCGCTAGGACACTGATAATCTCTTGTTTCTGTTCCCACCACGATCCACAGGTGACCACAGCCCGAGGGCCGAGGACGACAGCGTTGGGCCGGGCGGAGCACGAGTTCCTGAGCTCTGCAGCACAGCAGGCGGCGGAGGCAGCTCCGCGCCGGCTGGCGGCCTGGAGGAGGAGGAGGAGGAACCTGCAGCCCCCAAGCCGCGCAAGAAGCGCTCGCGGGCGGCCTTCTCGCACGCGCAGGTATTTGAGCTGGAGCGACGATTTAACCACCAGCGTTACTTGTCCGGGCCGGAACGCGCAGACCTGGCCGCGTCGCTAAAGCTCACCGAGACACAGGTGAAGATCTGGTTCCAGAACCGTCGTTACAAGACCAAGCGCCGGCAAATGGCTGCTGACCTGCTGGCCTCGGCCCCCGCTGCCAAAAAGGTGGCCGTCAAGGTGCTGGTGCGCGACGACCAGAGACAGTACCTGCCCGGGGAAGTGCTGCGGCCACCGTCGCTTCTGCCGCTGCAGCCCTCCTACTATTACCCTTACTACTGCCTCCCGGGATGGGCGCTCTCCACGTGCGCAGCCACCGCGGGCACCCAGTGAACCCGCCCGGGGAGGCAGCGCAGGAGTCCTGTGCCCCAACTCGGGAAAGGCGATTGAGTGACAGCCCTGCGGGTTGTATGATCGTGTGTGTGCTGGGGCGCCCCACCGAGGCAGCGAGAGCCCCGGGTCGCGTGGCCGGTACCTGGGTGCCCTGGCAGCTGGAGGCCTGGAGAGAAACGCCTTTTTCGGACGGGAACGGCATCCCCCACACAGGGTAGTAGAGACCCCTGCTCAACGCTCAATCAGTCTGGATGCGCCTGACTGTATTTATTACCACGACGATGGGTTTGGAGTTGGGTCAGCCTGGGGATGATATTACCCGCCCCCAGAGCAGAAAGGACCTCTAGAGACCACCGAGCCTGCGTGAGCAGAACGCCGGGCCCGCCGGGAGCGTCGTGCGCTAGGCCACACTAGTTCATGGTATCCATGCTACCGATCTATGTGTATCTACATGACTTTCAATTTGGGGAAATTGCTTTGGTAACAAAGGGGTGCAAAACCCTGGCAGCCCCAGGCAGCCCCACCCTAGCCAGGGGTTGACTGGAATTGAGAGGGGCTTCACCTTCCGGACCCCCACAGCCGCCGCCTTTCCCAGGGCTGGAGTTCCGAGACAAGCCAGGGGCGCTCCGCTCAGTGTTGAATGTAAGGCAGAGCGCCCGTGGGCGCGGGGCAGGCCAGGGACCGTCCCTCCCCAACATCCTTCTTCCACATACACACAAACACACACACACAGACACGTTGGTTCTCTGGGGTCCAGGGCCCAGGAGAGCGCACACCCGGGTGTCTCAGAAATTCTCTCCTTTCATTTTGTAAAGAAAATCAGACTTTGTAGCACTTTGCAGTACTTTGTATTCAAATAATGGTTATTTTTGTATCCAACGTGAGTATCTCCGACCAGCCTTTCCCCCGCGGGCCCCGCAGCTCTGCCAGCCCGGCCTTCCCGGCCTCCCGGACTCTGTGCGCTGGGCACAGCTGCCCCTCTGCCTGCTCCTAAGACAGGTGATCCGTCCCTCTCGCGCCAGCCGCGCCGCTTTTCGCCTCCTGGGCACTGTGCACTCAACTAGAGTATTGACTTTTAAAAGATTTGTTGAAGTTTGCAAGTTCTGTTCGCTGTATTTTTCCCCTTTAATTTATAAACGTTTAGTTTAATATGCCCTCCTGGACGCCGTGTTTTCTCTGTATTTCTCTGTGCGTCTGACTTTGGGAACCAGGCGCCCAAGTAGCTGTGACTTCTTTTCCCAACCTGGCGTGTGTCTTGGGCTGAGGCATGTCCTGCCTAGTTCCCCGAAACAGCCCTCTAGGCAGCCCCGCAAGGAAGGGTTATACCCGCACTCAGGGGACCACTCTGCAGGAGCACAAGCGAATCCCACTGCCCGGGAGCGGAGTGTCAAGTTCTGAGAATTCCTTTTTTCCGTCTCGGACACTTACAGAGTGCCGGAGGCGCCGGCTGAACAAGTAGCTTCCGTTTTTAAACCTCGCCTGCGATCTTATCGCCTGCGTTCGCCTCTCTCTCCTTTCGGTTTTCCTCAAAGTTATCAGGTGGTTATTCCGTTCCAACAATGGGCGACAAAACTCCCCGCTGAAACACCAGGCTCCCACAGCGCGTCTCCCAGGGAGTGTTACCTGCGCGTTGGCACCTGCTGAGTATTAAGGGCGCTTTCTCCTCCACTCTTTCTGGAACACGTATTAGGTCCTCACCCGAGACCCCAGCCGCCGAAAGCAGAGGGTGGGTCTGGCCTGAGTTCACAACCCTGTTTTTTTACAAAGGAACCCGTCCCGCTGGCGTGCCAGGGCCCGCTACCAAGCCTACCAAGCCGCGGATTACCTCCGAGCCGGCGATCGCGGAATCCCAGACCTGACTTCCTTCGGTTCCACCTGGAGCGGAAGGGCAGATTCGTCCCCCGCCCCCCTTCCCTGTCCGCCAGGCCTAGCCACCTTTTCCCAGCCTGCCGGGCTCCGGCCTCCCAACCCGGCCACAGCCTCGGCCAGGAGTCCGGCGATGCCCGGACCCGAGGGCGCAGCCGCACTTCCAGAAACAAAGCAAGGCAAAGGCCTCGGGCTGTGCACCCCCACGGGCCCCACTCGCTCCGGGCGATCCCGGAGCTTTGCAGGGTGTTTCTAACAGTCGATTTTAATTTGAATCACAAGTGCGTTTTCCTGGCCGAAAGTTGAAACGTTTGCCGCAGCGCCAGAATCCCCTCCCTGTCTCTCCCCAGAGAGCGCTGCTAATTGAGGGTTTCTTCGAAGGGTGGTGGTGGTGGTCCTTTCCGTCCCCAGCTGATGCTCCAGTGGCTGCTAGCTGCCCACTCCCCCGCCCCGGGAATGGTTTGTTTGCTCTCTCTGCGGATTGCGAGGCTAAAGAATCCCGCAGTTCCTTCCAGAAGGAAAAGGGCGCAAACAGGTCCGAGGTCTCATCCGCCGCTGTGTCCCCTAGAGCCTCGGACCCCATCTCTCCTCGCGCCCCCGCCAGTGCCCACACCCCCTTTCTCTTCAACTCCCGGGATCCCCGCCTGCTCCGGCTGGGCAGGGCTGGCTCCAGGTGCCTGGGGGAAATGACTCAAAGGAATTCAGTTGGATCCGAACCTTGGCGGCTTGCTTGACCTTGATCCCTGCGGCCTCCCAGGCCCTCTGGGCCTCTGAGGATTGTTCCTCGCGCTTTGCGTTTCTTTGGCGTTTCGCTCCCCGAGAACGGTGTCTTGACCAAGGTCTCAGGCCGCTGCTCCTGTTGGAAATTCGTAGAATTTTTCTTTGTTTCCTCTTTTCTTTTCGAAGATGTGAAACAGTCCGGCTCCTGGCGTACTTTGCTCTAGTTCAAAGACGTCTTGGTTGGTCCACCGGGCGGGCCCCAGGAATGTGCGGATTACTCTGGGTCTCCTCTTGGAGACCTCTGATCGCACGCGGGCGGCCAGTTGCTGCCTCTCCGTCTGCCCCAGCCCTTTATGCTCTCAGCTGGTCTTCCGGCTAGCAGCCGTGGGCCATTCTCAGGTGCAACTTAACCGACTCACAGACGGGCAAATCAAGGAGACAAAAAGGGCTGGGAAATAGGGTGGAACAGGGTGTTGTCCAGCACTGAAATCAGCTTTTCGTATCCAGGAGGGACCGGTGAAACTGACGCTGGGCAGGAAATAGGGATAAAACTGCTCACAAATGTCCCTGGTAGTGTGTCTGTCTGTCTGTCTCTCGCTCTCTCTCTCCCTCCTTATAACAAACTGAGACTCACTGCAAAAGATTAGGTATCTCCTATGAGCAAAGAGCAGAGGTTGGAGTCTGGCTTGCTGGCTAGGAATGCCAACACCCTCTGCTAAAGCCCTTAAATCCGAACGTGGGAGAGGGCAATGAATGAATGTTCCTATGGAGTGGAGAGTGCAAGTTCTGGGTCACTAGGAGAGAGCAGATCTCTAGCTAAGCCTGGCAGGACTTCAGGAGCCCAGCTGAGGGGCATCCCGCCTGGTGAGTGGCAGGTGCTGAACCACCTGCTGAAACAGGCACTCTCTTCACATCTCAGTTCCGCTGGGCAGGCAAAGGCAGACTCCTGTCAGATCCCCCAAAGGAGAGCCGCCAACTCTGTATGCGCAATGGTTTCCTTAAAACCAGAAAATTGGTGAGGAGAGGAAATGGGCCCCAAAGACCAACGGAGTAATAGGGTGCTGTTTCCCCAGAGCCTCTGGCTGAGTCCTCGCTTCCTGGTCTCAACCAGGTCCAGCACAGCTGCAGCCAACGCGGGTAAGTGCTTGGCGGGAGAAGGGGCAGTGGTGGAGATCCCAGCCTGAGGCTGCTAGAGCCTACGCAGCCCACACTCTGAGCTGCTAGAAAAGCAAGAGGTTCCTGACCCAGAGAGCATTTGGTAAGAGGAAAAGCCAAAGCCATCTGCATTTGTGCTCATCTGTAACATTGTAGGTGAAGAAGGGCCTCCAGCCCATCTGGCTGGGTTTCTGGGAAGCTGCCCCTCTCCTACCGGGCATGACCTCGACTTTATACTTGGGGAAACTGAGACTTAAAGAGACAGTGTGAATGGTCCACTGCGAGGCCAGAAAGAGGCCGAGGCAGGACTGTTCAGAGCTCAGAAGCCTGTTTAGAATTTGAAGAGCAGGTGGGTTCTCCTGTAGTTCTGGCATTGCCTGGGTTTGGCGCTGGGAAGTTGGATCATAAAACGCACGGTGCACTTTTAAAGTCATTAAACATGGCACAACTGGCCTGAGCTTATTAGGAGGCATTGTTATAATCCTTTGCTTCTGGGCACTGCTGCCTGGCTGACCCCACTTCTTGGACTACTGGTCCACGGAGCTTGGGGACTCTCAGAGGACCGGAGGGGTGCCTGCTAGTTAGAAAATTAATATCAAAGCAGATTTGCCCTCCCCCCAAGAAAGTTATATTGTAAATGGTTACATCATCTAATAATTTTTTTCTGTAGTCAAACAAAGGAGTTATTCAACATAAATTGGATAATTCAATCTGTTAAAGCATTTATTTTAAAAATGGACTCTCAGGGCCTGGCAAGCAGGGGTGGTCCTGAACTGGGCAGAGGTAAACCTGTTTGGTGCCTGGGACCGTGCCTCACCTTAGGCAAATCTTGTAAAGATTAGATTGGGGACCATTTGTGAGCGCTGAGAACGGGGTGAATGGCCCTACAGCGCCACACAACGCACTCCACATGCCGCCCCAAGTGGATCCGCTGTGGGTTTGAGAATTTTTGCTTTGAGACCGGCGAGGGCGGGGGGGGGGGGGGGGGGGCGGGGGGGGGGGGAGGTGCAGTTTCTGGTCGACCTGGCATTCCTGTTCTCTCTGTTGGTGTCCAGCTCCGCGAGCACACGCGGCAGCCCAGGGAGACACCGGGAGATGCGGCGTCAGCTCCCCTGGAGTATCTATCAGGTGAGGTTAGTTGCGCTACAACTTCTGCCGCAAGCCTGCGTGTACCTGTGCGTCCAGTTCTCCCGCCCGAGGCCGGCTCTCGCCCGCACACCTTTCCGAGGTCACCTCTTCTCCCGGAGGGCAGACCCGCCACCGCAGTTTGTGTGTGATCCCAGCAGCC